TGTGGTTCAAGTCCTACAAATGTCATTTTGGGACTTGAAATGTGTCGAATAGTAATTACACAAGCTACAGAAAAAAATTTAAGGTGAACAACTTGCGCCAGGCTTTCGACAACGAGCAAGTAATCTAGTGGTAAAGACTGCACGTCGTGTGATGCACCATTGTGGTTCAAGCCCTACAAAGTCATTTTACACAAGCTAGAAAAAAAGTTTAATAAGGCGAATAAGTTGCGGTAGGCTTCCAGCAACGAGCAAGTGGTCGAGTGGTAAAGGCTACACGCTGTGATAAGTACCATTGTGGTTCAAGTGCTACAAATGTCATTTTGGGACTTGAAATGTGTCGAATAGTAATTACACAAGCTACAGAAAAAAATTTAAGGTGAACAACTTGCGCTAGGCTTTCGACAACGAGCAAGTAATCTAGTGCTAAAGACTGCACGTCGTGTGATGCACCATTGTGGTTCAAGCCCTACAAAGTCATTTTACACAAGCTAGAAAAAAGTTTAATTAAGGCGAATAAGTTGCGGTAGGCTCCCAGCAACGAGCAAGTTGTCTAGTGGTAAAGGTTACTCGCTGTGTAAAGTACCATTGTGGTTCAAGTCCTATAAAAGTCATTTTGTGAGTTGAAATGTATCGAATATTAATACACAAGCTAGAGAAAAAATTAAGGTTAAGGTGAATAAGTTGCGGTAGGCTTCGAACAACGAGCAAGTGGTCTAGTCGTAGCGATATCGGACTGTAAAAGACAATGTCGTGTACCAGGATCGGTTCGGGGACGAGTGAAAGAAAAAAGATGGCAGACGAAAAAAGAAGAATACAAGAAAAATGGCGGCCACGCAAATTTTGGAGAAGATAATACCATTCAAATTAATCTTTAGTAATTACCATGGTGTGGCGTATGCGCGGTGGACTTACAATATGACAGCGTGCGGTGGCTTTTGACTGTCAATCTGGCGCCGAAGAACACTCTCGGTTTTTATACTATGACCATTGCAATTTGCATGGGACATACTGGTTGGCGTAACGCCCTTGAAATTCAATCTCAAATCGTCTTTCTTAACATTTCGAGACAAGTTGCTTGGTGTAACAGCGAAATTAATGTTGAGCTCAGCAAGATCGATCCATAGTTTCCAAGCATACGACACTGTGTTGAGTGCAGTACACTATCTTGACTGTTGGTTTTCCACCTGTACAAAAACGTACAGGTGAAAAACCAACAGCCCAGATAGTGTACTGGACTCAACACAGTGTCGTATGCTTGGAAGCTATGGATCAATCCCTGCTGAGCTCAACATTTATTTCGCTGTTACACTAAGCAACTTGTGTCACAATGTTAAGAAAGACGATTTGAGATTCCATTGCAAGGGATGTTACAATGTTCCATGCAACTTGAAATAATAATTGAACCGGATTCTACTTCGTGCAATGGTCGTTCCAACTCTAATATTGAGAGACTTGTTGATTGCGAGACATAAAACACTTTGCAATTTCGCGTGCAACTTGTGTCGCAACAAAATAAATAGCATGGTGTAACATTTATTTTAGTGTTTGATTCCACCTCAGAGTGTGAAGCGTTAAATAAAATAAAAAATACCAGGTAAAGAAAAGGTTCGTTTCCTACCATGACAAGGATCTTTTGGCCTTTGTCACGGGTACGAATTAATTAAAGTTTAGAGAAAAAGGATTAGCAATGATAGAAAACATTAAGTTTTCACCAATAGACCTAGTAGTCTAGCGGTCCCACTTAAAGCCTTCGGGTGTTATGGTGGAAGGATCGAGTCCGGGTAAGACCGGCCGAGACATCGTGTTCAGGTAATCGATCTGACCGGCTGTATGCGAAGTGGGACAAAATTCGGGGGTTCTGTTTCCCCGAAACTTCTGAGGAAAAACCCGGGCGTATCTTGCTCAAAGCGTGAAGGAAAAAGACTTAGTAAAAAAAAATTTCTTCTCCCGGCCCCCTCCCCGGCGTCCCTCGCCCTTTCCTCTCTTGCCACCTTCCCACAGCACGCTGTCATATTCTAAGTCTACCGCGCATGCGCCGCACCATGGTAATTACTAAAGATTAATTTCAATGGTGTTATCTTCTCCAAACATTTGCGCGGCCGCCATTTTTCTTGTATTCTTCTTCTTAGGTCTGCCATCTTTTTTCTTTCACTCGTCCTCGAACCGATCCTGATACACGACATTGGCTTTTACAGTCCGATATCGCTACCACTAGACCACTTGCTCGTTGTTGGAAGCGTACCCCAACTTGTTCACCTTAACCTTTTTACTCTAGCTTGTACAATAAATATTCGACACATTTCAAGTCACAAAATGTTTTTGTAGGACTTGAACCACAATGGTACTTTACACAGCGTATAGCCTTTGCCACTAGAGCACTTGTTCGTTGTTGGAAGCTTAGCGCAACTTATTCGCCTTAATTAAACGTTTTTTCTAGCATGTGTAATTAATATTCGACACATTTTTTTTTATTATTATTATTAATTTGCCCAAATTACATAGTTATTTACATTTATTTCCTTTTGAGATACTTTCAGAGAGCTAGAGACCTTTGGAAACCTGTATAGGCTTTTATTTAAGGCCCCTATAGTTTTATACGAGTAAAAATTAAGTCACTAAAAATTCATAAAACCAGTATATTGTCAAAAGTACTGTCAAGTCTTAAGACTTTATATAAAGGACAGAACGGATACCTATAGTGCTATACTTACAAGTAGAATAACTATAGATGCTCAAATATACAAGAGACAAGTTGAAAGAGTGCTTAATTATTGAGCAGTAGGTGCTTTTTAATTTTCTTTTTGAAGGTAGTATAAAATTTGATATTTTTATAATTACAATCTAGTTTGTTCCAAATATTAACTCCTTTATCAGAAAGGGTTTGTTTTGCATAGTTTGTTCTTTTATAAGACTTATGAAGTTGTGATGAAGTTCTTGTGTTACAATGGTGAATTTCATCATTCCTGGTGAAATAATTACTAAATACTTCTGGTAAATTTTTGAGGTAATAATATTGAAACATAAACAGACAAATTAGGTAATCATTTATATTTTCAAAGTTCAATATCCCCAGGTTTCTGAAGAGGGGCTCGATGTGTTCATTAACATCATCATCATCCACCCAATGTGCAACAAACAATATCTCAACAATCATTTATATTAATTTCTTAACATGAACCTTGTACTATTTACATTTGCAGGCATAGAGTTTGCGTTCATTCTAATAAGTTTGGATTCTTTTTTCGCAGGTGCCTGACTCTATTTCTTAACTGTTCGCTTGTTGAATTCACCTCCGGGTATCGCATCGTGAACAGACGGTGTACTTCTTGCCATCTTATAGCGTGGTTTCCTACATCAGACCGATTGTTTCTTGCCAGTATGATCAGAGCGTTGTTCAGGTTGGTAGGTGGCGGTCTGGGTGGAGGTTGGTTGTCAGCGGGTGGCTGCTCTTCATCATCACTGTCCAAGTTAATAATCGGTTGGGGAGGTCGTCGAGGTGGTGGAATCTGTGGTGGAATGGGTGGTGCTGGGTTGCGATCTAACCACCATATTGGTCCAAGAGTGGGATCGGACTTGAACCCTGCATGCCTGTATCCGAGAAGGAGTTTGAGATCACCAAGAATGGCTTTTTCTCTAATGGTTAGCTCGCGGTTTACATCATGCCTCATAACATTGTTGGCAGCAAGAATTTGCCTCGCCTTACGAAAAAGACGACTGGCATCCTGGAGGTATTCGGCTACTGTTATTGTTCGGCAGCTTGTGCGTACCTCGAAGCTGGCCGGGCTGAAAAGGTGGTGCGTCAAAATATGCTGTATGGCATCCATGTGGTGGTTGAAGCGCGCTCTGACTTCCATGCGCAGTCCACCGACTAGATCCCTTGCCTCGCGCATGGCCGCCAAGATGGAAAACATGTTGTCATAGGCACAGCCTCCCTGTCTCGTCGTGATGGTCGCATTAAGTGGCTGCGAGTTGGAAGCCCTCAACAGGTGGTATTGCAGGTTATAGACCTTTAGAGATTTTATCGGCCCATCATCGGTAAATACGAGGTTTAGGTTTCCACCAAGGGTAACTCTGGGGTTAGGGTTTAGTGGTGTAAGGATTGGGTAAGGGTTAGGTGTCACGTGGAGAGGATATGGGGTAGTACTATCATTCATTCATTCATCATTCCTGGTGAAATAATTACTAAATACTTCTGGTAAATTTTTGAGGTAATAATATTGAAACATAAACAGACAAATTAGGTAATCATTTATATTTTCAAAGTTCAATATCCCCAGGTTTCTGAAGAGGGGCTCGATGTGTTCATTAACATCATCATCATCCACCCAATGTGCAACAAACAATATCTCAACAATCATTTATATTAATTTCTTAACATGAACCTTGTACTATTTACATTTGCAGGCATAGAGTTTGCGTTCATTCTAATAAGTTTGGATTCTTTTTTCGCAGGTGCCTGACTCTATTTCTTAACTGTTCGCTTGTTGAATTCACCTCCGGGTATCGCATCGTGAACAGACGGTGTACTTCTTGCCATCTTATAGCGTGGTTTCCTACATCAGACCGATTGTTTCTTGCCAGTATGATCAGAGCGTTGTTCAGGTTGGTAGGTGGCGGTCTGGGTGGAGGTTGGTTGTCAGCGGGTGGCTGCTCTTCATCATCACTGTCCAAGTTAATAATCGGTTGGGGAGGTCGTCGAGGTGGTGGAATCTGTGGTGGAATGGGTGGTGCTGGGTTGCGATCTAACCACCATATTGGTCCAAGAGTGGGATCGGACTTGAACCCTGCATGCCTGTATCCGAGAAGGAGTTTGAGATCACCAAGAATGGCTTTTTCTCTAATGGTTAGCTCGCGGTTTACATCATGCCTCATAACATTGTTGGCAGCAAGAATTTGCCTCGCCTTACGAAAAAGACGACTGGCATCCTGGAGGTATTCGGCTACTGTTATTGTTCGGCAGCTTGTGCGTACCTCGAAGCTGGCCGGGCTGAAAAGGTGGTGCGTCAAAATATGCTGTATGGCATCCATGTGGTGGTTGAAGCGCGCTCTGACTTCCATGCGCAGTCCACCGACTAGATCCCTTGCCTCGCGCATGGCCGCCAAGATGGAAAACATGTTGTCATAGGCACAGCCTCCCTGTCTCGTCGTGATGGTCGCATTAAGTGGCTGCGAGTTGGAAGCCCTCAACAGGTGGTATTGCAGGTTATAGACCTTTAGAGATTTTATCGGCCCATCATCGGTAAATACGAGGTTTAGGTTTCCACCAAGGGTAACTCTGGGGTTAGGGTTTAGTGGTGTAAGGATTGGGTAAGGGTTAGGTGTCACGTGGAGAGGATATGGGGCATGGGGTTTTATCATTCATTCGTGTCATTCCTGGTGAAATAATTACTAAATACTTCTGGTAAATTTTTGAGGTAATAATATTGAAACATAAACAGACAAATTAGGTAATCATTTATATTTTCAAAGTTCAATATCCCCAGGTTTCTGAAGAGGGGCTCGATGTGTTCATTAACATCATCATCATCCACCCAATGTGCAACAAACAATATCTCAACAATCATTTATATTAATTTCTTAACATGAACCTTGTACTATTTACATTTGCAGGCATAGAGTTTGCGTTCATTCTAATAAGTTTGGATTCTTTTTTCGCAGGTGCCTGACTCTATTTCTTAACTGTTCGCTTGTTGAATTCACCTCCGGGTATCGCATCGTGAACAGACGGTGTACTTCTTGCCATCTTATAGCGTGGTTTCCTACATCAGACCGATTGTTTCTTGCCAGTATGATCAGAGCGTTGTTCAGGTTGGTAGGTGGCGGTCTGGGTGGAGGTTGGTTGTCAGCGGGTGGCTGCTCTTCATCATCACTGTCCAAGTTAATAATCGGTTGGGGAGGTCGTCGAGGTGGTGGAATCTGTGGTGGAATGGGTGGTGCTGGGTTGCGATCTAACCACCATATTGGTCCAAGAGTGGGATCGGACTTGAACCCTGCATGCCTGTATCCGAGAAGGAGTTTGAGATCACCAAGAATGGCTTTTTCTCTAATGGTTAGCTCGCGGTTTACATCATGCCTCATAACATTGTTGGCAGCAAGAATTTGCCTCGCCTTACGAAAAAGACGACTGGCATCCTGGAGGTATTCGGCTACTGTTATTGTTCGGCAGCTTGTGCGTACCTCGAAGCTGGCCGGGCTGAAAAGGTGGTGCGTCAAAATATGCTGTATGGCATCCATGTGGTGGTTGAAGCGCGCTCTGACTTCCATGCGCAGTCCACCGACTAGATCCCTTGCCTCGCGCATGGCCGCCAAGATGGAAAACATGTTGTCATAGGCACAGCCTCCCTGTCTCGTCGTGATGGTCGCATTAAGTGGCTGCGAGTTGGAAGCCCTCAACAGGTGGTATTGCAGGTTATAGACCTTTAGAGATTTTATCGGCCCATCATCGGTAAATACGAGGTTTAGGTTTCCACCAAGGGTAACTCTGGGGTTAGGGTTTAGTGGTGTAAGGATTGGGTAAGGGTTAGGTGTCACGTGGAGAGGATATGGGGCATGGGGTTTTATCATTCATTCATTCATCATTCCTGGTGAAATAATTACTAAATACTTCTGGTAAATTTTTGAGGTAATAATATTGAAACATAAACAGACAAATTAGGTAATCATTTATATTTTCAAAGTTCAATATCCCCAGGTTTCTGAAGAGGGGCTCGATGTGTTCATTAACATCATCATCATCCACCCAATGTGCAACAAACAATATCTCAACAATCATTTATATTAATTTCTTAACATGAACCTTGTACTATTTACATTTGCAGGCATAGAGTTTGCGTTCATTCTAATAAGTTTGGATTCTTTTTTCGCAGGTGCCTGACTCTATTTCTTAACTGTTCGCTTGTTGAATTCACCTCCGGGTATCGCATCGTGAACAGACGGTGTACTTCTTGCCATCTTATAGCGTGGTTTCCTACATCAGACCGATTGTTTCTTGCCAGTATGATCAGAGCGTTGTTCAGGTTGGTAGGTGGCGGTCTGGGTGGAGGTTGGTTGTCAGCGGGTGGCTGCTCTTCATCATCACTGTCCAAGTTAATAATCGGTTGGGGAGGTCGTCGAGGTGGTGGAATCTGTGGTGGAATGGGTGGTGCTGGGTTGCGATCTAACCACCATATTGGTCCAAGAGTGGGATCGGACTTGAACCCTGCATGCCTGTATCCGAGAAGGAGTTTGAGATCACCAAGAATGGCTTTTTCTCTAATGGTTAGCTCGCGGTTTACATCATGCCTCATAACATTGTTGGCAGCAAGAATTTGCCTCGCCTTACGAAAAAGACGACTGGCATCCTGGAGGTATTCGGCTACTGTTATTGTTCGGCAGCTTGTGCGTACCTCGAAGCTGGCCGGGCTGAAAAGGTGGTGCGTCAAAATATGCTGTATGGCATCCATGTGGTGGTTGAAGCGCGCTCTGACTTCCATGCGCAGTCCACCGACTAGATCCCTTGCCTCGCGCATGGCCGCCAAGATGGAAAACATGTTGTCATAGGCACAGCCTCCCTGTCTCGTCGTGATGGTCGCATTAAGTGGCTGCGAGTTGGAAGCCCTCAACAGGTGGTATTGCAGGTTATAGACCTTTAGAGATTTTATCGGCCCATCATCGGTAAATACGAGGTTTAGGTTTCCACCAAGGGTAACTCTGGGGTTAGGGTTTAGTGTTGTAAGGATTGGGTAAGGGTTAGGTGTCACGTGGAGAGGATATGGGGCATGGGGTTTTATCATTTCATTCATTCATCATTCCTGGTGAAATAATTACTAAATACTTCTGGTAAATTTTCGAGATAATAATATCGAAACATAAACAGACAAATTAGGTAATCATTTATATTTTCAAAGTTCAATATCCCCAGGTTTCTGAAGAGGGGCTCGGTGTGTTC